AGTAGTGAGTGTCTTAAATTCTATTGTTCAATAAAGCACATTAGGTTTGCCATAAATATCATATTAGGGAATTTGTTGAAAAAGATTTTGGGATTATCGTGATTTCCAAAAAAATGGTTGTAGAATGTTCAATATACAATTTAAACAAATAATATAGTGACAGGAAATCTTAAATTAAAAAAATATATATTTTAGGACGGTATAGTGAGTGTCTTAAATTCTATTGTTCAATAAAGCACATTAGGTTTGCCATAAATATCATATTAGGGAATTTGTTGAAAAAGATTTTGGGATTATCGTGATTTCCAAAAAAATGGTTGTAGAATGTTCAATATACAATTTAAACAAATAATATAGTGACAGGAAATCTTAAATTAAAAAAATATATATTTTAGGACGGTATTTTCTAAAGGTCTCAGCCATTTTAAGTGACTCATTTATTAAATGAGCACAGTTGGGTCACCTTGGAAAATGCCACTTGGAATCTATACTTCTCTCTGACTGCTGAAGTATTTTTGTCTTAGTTTCACAGCATGTAAGTTTGTACCACATTTTTCAAAATGCTACACTCCCAAAAGATCCACAATTTGTTATGTCCCAACACAGGTGCTCTTGTACTCCCCATTTGAATTGGATTGATTCCAATAGAAATATGGATCAGTGCTTTTTGATCCCTTTGTGGGATCAGGCTTCCTTCATGTATGCAGAGGGGAAGAGAAAAACTTGTATTGTTGAGAAAGTAGGGCACTAAGTTCCACAATGTAAAAAATCAGAAATGTAATCAATAAGCTTTAAATATTTTTTGAAAATAGTGGTATAAGATAGGAGTCAATTCTGCACACACTTAGCACATGTTTAGCTCCTCTAGTGAGTGTCAGGGGGACTGTTCACAGTTGTAAAGTTGGATTGGTGTCTGGTTTGTTAAATATTTTTGGGAGGCAAAAACCACACCCATATTTTCTTCTTTTGGCTGAATGAAGCATTTTTAAATGTCAGCATTTTCCATAATTTTCTAAAGAATACTCCTTTAAAATACTGTGTGCGCCTTTTTTTTCTTCAGAAAGTTAACCAATTTTGAGTCATGGCTTAAAGAAATGAGGAAATTGTTTTTAATGTCTGTTTACAAGCTTCGGGATGTCTGGACATAATTGTGATATTTTTGTTCACAATAACTGTATATACAATTTTTTTTACAGAGTGGATTTTATCATGACCAAAGAAATTATAGCAGCCTTAGACATAGCAAACCAGTTTCTACTTACCAAACACGGGTCTGTCTGTACTTTTGGTTTCTGCTTAATTATTATGTGTGTTATTTTCCTCTTAAGATTCTGAAGTATTAAACCTAACATTAGCATAATTGCAAATGTTTGCTTAGTTTTTAAAATTGTCGTTCACATTAATTTATGAGGTGGGCCCTATCAAATTCACGGTCCAGTTTGGTCAATTTCACAGTCTCAGGATTTTAAAAATAGCAAATTTCACGATTTCAGACTTAAATCTGGAATTTCACAGTACTGTAATTGTCAGGGTCCTGACCCAACAAGGAGCTGTGTGCAGGGGGTTGCAGTGTATTCTAAGGTGGTTGTGATACTGCTGCCATTACTTCTGATCTGCTGCTAGCAGCAGCACTGCATTTTGAGCTGGGCAGCCACAGTGTGACGGGTGCTGGCCAGGGACTACTGCCAGCAGCATCACAGAAAGACGAATGGCATTGTATGGTGTTACCACCCATCTGTGCTGCTGCTGGCAAGGGACTGCCTTCAAATCTAGGGACTGCTCTTCAGCTGCCCAGCTCTAAAGGGAAATGCAAAAGAAAGTGTCAATATCATGAGCTCCTTAAAATAATTTAACTACCTTTTGGGTTACAATCCCCAATTTGAGAAACACTTGTCTCCCACATGAAAACTGTATAATTTAGGTTAAAAGCACTCAAAAGAACAGTTTTCACTGTCCATGATGGATTTTTCATGGCTGTGAATTTGGGAGGGCCCAATTTATAAGGAATTGTCTTGTGCTTGATGAGGCAGTTGTGTTTCCTGCATGTTTTGATACATTTTAAGTGGCTTAAGTTATGAATTATTACCATGTATTTGATTTTTTTTAAATTGAGTTTTCTGTTTACTTAGATGCTTTTCAAAGCCAAGTTTAACTGAACTGCCCAGGCAAACTAAGGAGATCATTCAGAATAATAAGCAAGGCCAAAAGTTCATCTTTTTACAGTTTTTTGAGTGATAATTCATGTCCATTCCAGTGAGGTGTATGCATGCGCATATGCATGATAGCTGGAAGATTTTTCCCTTAGCTGTTCGCTGGCATCGAATATTGAGCTCTGCCAACTAACCCTCTCTCCATATCCTTCTTACCATCAGTGATCGTTAGCTGAAATGTCCTGGTGCTTGTCTTTGCAAGTGTGCTAGCAGTTATCTACTAGTTTCTTCATTATACGTAGTTAATAATTATTAGGCATAGATAATTTTCATAGTGTAGTTAGTCAATTGTTTGTTTAGCTCTTAAGAGGGTTTCTTCCTTCCTCTCCCTCCCCCTCCCTCCCACCTGCTTTGAGTCCCTTATACCGGGGCATGCTTAGGTCATTAGGCTTCAAAGCCTGTGCAGCCTGTGGTAGGTGCATGCACAAAAGCAACCTCCACGCTTTGTGTTTTAAGTGTCTGGGCAAGAGTCATCAAAGGGATCACTGCTCAATTTGTAAGACTTTCAGACCTAGGACTTTAAAAGAGAGAGCTCAGCATCTGAAGGTCATTCTCATGGACGCAGCACTTCAATCCCCAGTCAGAACAGGTTTCAGACCTGGTGCCAAGCACTTTATCTTTGGTGCAGAGTGCCCCAGTGCTGGGATCAGCACAGCGATGAGCAAGGACAATATGTTCTAGTACTGTACAGCTGTGGTGCAGGGCTCCTAACTGACATTCAGGCACTGGTCCTAGTCACCAGTGCCTTAGAAAAAGAAGAGGCATGATAGGGTAAGTCTCCCACCTCTAGGCACAAGGAGCCAATGTTTGTTAGACACGGTCAGACCTGCCCTAGTGCAATACTACCGATGCAGGACTGCGCATTGACTTGCAGACACCAGGTGGTCAAGTCTGAAACCACCTCCTTCTCCATTTAGGAGCCTCCACTTAGGGACCTGTAGCTTCCCTCAACACTAGAAGCATTCCAGGCCACACAGGAGCTCCATGCACACTACAGCACACTTCTCTCCGACATGATGCAAGAAGTTGCTGTAGTGTTTGGCTACCCGCCCACCTTCCTGAGGAAATCTGGCCATGATGGCTTATTCCCCAGCACCAAGACAATACTGCACCAGCCATCTCTCAATTCAAAATGAGGAGCTGTAGCCAGGTCCTGTCAGCCCACCAGGAGTATGGCCTCTCCGTGGCCCTCAGCATTGGCGTTCTTGAAGTCACAGTCTGACTCCTACAGTTCCAGCCAGAATGGGAGGTCTTCGTCAAAGCGCACCTTCTGTTCTCACCCAGTGCATTGGTAGCCCACACTGCAGTTGTCCTTCTGGATACCCTAGCCCTTTGCGAGGGCCAGGCTCTATGATCTCATTCCAGGGTGATATCAGTAGTGTCAGCCTCCTTTGTTTCACTGGCACTGGTGCCTTCGTTTCTCAACTACACACCAGTGGACACTAGATCGATAATTCCAGCACCATTGCTGAAGCAGCTTCACCCCCAATGATTTAATTGACACTGAAAATCCAGGAGGACCATAGGGAGTTGGCTCCATCCATGTTTCCACAGGCATAGACAGAACACTTACCAGTGCCCTCGAGTGCCTCCTCAGGAATACTGCCCCTAGACTCTTCAGGATTGGAGGGAAGAGAACTGCCACTTATGGGAACATCGTCTTCCCCAGAGGAGGTGATAGCTGGCACAGCCGCAGCCCCACCTTGGAAGACAACAGAGGGTTTCCCAATAGCTCCTTAGGAGAGTTGCTCAAGGCCTGGGCATTCAGGCTGAAGAAGTGACTGAGGATGTCAATCTAGTGTAGGTCCTTTGGGACCTACATGTGTGGCCCTTTCTCTTATATAGAACACCTATGACCCCCCAGGGCCAAGAAAAATGAGAGGCAATATTTCGTGCCCTCTAACAGTTACAAGCATCTATAGTCACCCTCCTCCCAACTCGCTGGCTATGGATGCAGCAAATCAGAGTGAATGTCAGGGCTTACATGGTCCTTTTCTGAAAAATAGAGAGGCAAAATGCCTCAATCTTTATGGTCAAAAAGTGTATTCTGTAGGGGGTTTGCAGCTCTGTATTACAATGGCTTGCTGGTTTGAAAGTAGATATTCCTAAAATATATCTTCAGTGACAAAATTTATGGGACTGCTATCTAATGAGTCCAGGGCCAAATTCTCAGTAGAGATGGTAGAGGGAGGGCAAGCTTATTTCCAGAACATCTCTAAAAGAAGCCCTGGATACAGCCATATGGCCACCCAAGTCATGGCCATGAGAAGGGGATCATGGCTTCAGATGTTGAGCCTGCCATACAAGGTCCAACAAATGATCCAAGACCTCCCTTTTGAAGAACCATCATTCTTTCTGAGAGGACGGATAGAAGGCTTCACAGCCTTAAGACTCGAGAGCAACTCTCAAGTCCTTGACAGGACACACTCCTACTACACAACAATTTTACATCTCACCCTCCACTGCATCCGTATCAGCTACAAAATCATCAAGAAGGCCAAAGCAGGGAGAAACAGGAGTGACAGGCCCTCACCAGACTGGATAGAGTTCTGGTCAACACAGACTTTCATCTGGTCAGCACAAATCTTCATCATCCATAAGCAGGCCTTTTGAAGGTGCTATCAAGGGCAACATACTAATCAAGCATCTAGACTTAGCTTCTTGTCCTGACTGCCTTTTTCTATACTTGGTCCTGCATTACTTTGAATTGCTGGATCCTTTGCAAGAACTCAACAAATTCATGTAAAAGATGAAGTTTTGTATGTTTTCCTTGGCCTCTATAATCCCGTCCCTTGATCTGGCCAAGTAGTATGCTGTCCTCGATTTTAAGGATATCTGTGTTCATGTCTCCGTTTATCATCTGCACAGAAAATATCTCAAGTTCATAATGAACAACATCCACTACCAATTTACAGTCTCAGGGTACATCTAGACTACATGCCTCTGTCGCCAGAGGCATGTAGATTAGGCTACCAGACATAGTAAAATGAAGTGGCAATTTAAATAATCGCCGCTTCATTTAAATTCAGCCATGTAAATTTAAATGAAGCGGCGATTATTTAAATTGCCGCTTCATTTTACTATGTCTGGTAGCCTAATCTACATGCCTCTGGCGACAGAGGCATGTAGTCTAGACGTACCCTCAATGTTTTATACTTTGAGCCAAAGGATGTTCATTTTCTCAAACTCCATAATAGTAAAGTGTCTAAGGAATTATTTGCTTTTCCACCCACTTGTGAAAGAAGGAGTTACTCTGTGAGACTTTAATATTGTGCTAGCTGCCCTTACAGAGCTCTTGGTAATTTTTTCTCGACTTCTCCTGTGCTTGTCATGATGTTGTCGCATCTACAGGAAGAGTAAGTGATCTGCAGGCTTTAATGGCAGAGCCACTCTTTTACTTAGTTTTTCAAAGACTACAGGGCATGAGGGCCACATCTTAATTTTTTGTATAAAGTGGTGTCACTATAACCAAATATACTTCCCAATATTCTTTCTTAAGCTATATTTAAATGCAAGAAGAACAGTGCCTTCATGTATTGTATGTGAAAGGTGTGGCTTTTTATTTGGAGAGAACTAAACCATTTTGTTGTTCAACTTCTTTGTCTCCTCTGTGGATAGGGCAATGGATCATGTGGTCTTCTCACAGACTATTTGCAGATGACTTCCTGTATTATGACAGCATATGGAGTAACCCAGGCAACACCTTCACAAAAACCATTGATTCATTCAACTAGGGCTCAAGCAACATCAATCACATTAAGCAATGTTTTAATATTGGGCATTTGCATCTGGTTTCCTGTGCATGTACTTTTACCAAATGCTTAAGCTATTATTGTTGCCACTACATCAGATTCAAACTCTGGGAAAGCAGTTTTGCAGTTGTTCTTTAAGTAAACTCGAAGCCCACTTGCTATTAATACTGCTTGTGAATCACCTGACTGGAATACATGACTACAACCAATCAAAGGTGATAGCAAAGATGTTACCTAGCTGGATGAAAATATTTCTTGTTTGCATTGTGGATGCAGATGTGTGTTCCACAACCCCCCTTTGGTGCCTTCTCCATCAGAGGTTAATCTCTTGATGTTCAGTGCAAAGGAACTTCAGGGGATCAGATGACACTGCCCTTAAATAATCTGGAAAGGGCCTGAGTGACTAGAGGCCGTGAGCATTGCCCCTATGAGTACTGTTAGGCAAAGTTCTTCAGGTTTAATGCAGTGGGCATTCATGCACCTGAATGGAATACAAGTGTCTGTCTGCATCCACATCTCATACAGCCACTGTACAGATATATGGTTTTTTTCTTTAGGAGCAGAACTCTGAAACTAGTAACTCTTAACACATGCACTGTACAGAGCATAATATGATAGGGACCCAGGTCAATGATGAAGGTCTGTAAGTGCTATCATAATGCAAATAATAAAAAACATCTGGTCTAACATCAGAAGTAACACTTGTTGTTTATTGACGACTTCGGTTAGATTTATGTTAGTTAGTAATCAAGGGGAGAAATTGCATGATCAAGCCATCCAGTCCTATTTCATACCTTTTCATGCCACTTTTTACCACAAAAATAGTAACTTTTTAATAAGCATATTATTGACTTCTGTTCTTCAAGATGTATGGTATGGTTTCTTTAAAATGTTACCATACTGTTTTTCAAAAGTTTTCAGTAGATCTCAGTTTTACCTGTTTAATTAAGTTCCTGGAGCTTCATCGCAAATATAATACAATGGATTTAAACATTTTTTTGTGTACTGCAGACAAAATTGTATTTTTTTTTTCCATCGCAGTCTTCCTCTCTCTACAGTGATCCTTTGGCAACTACAAAGACGTATAGGGTTAGTACAGTGTGAAAAAAGCTTTTTGGCTAACTTTGATGTTTTAAAGTTTTTTTCTAAATAAAAATTATGCTTTTCTTTATAGGTGTCTCCTACTGTAAACATAGGGTTGATAAGAAGTGCTAGTTGGGTTTGTATGAGTCTATTTGCATGGTTGCTTTAAACCTGAATTCAAATGAATGTGGTCTGAGAGTATTGCATATCCCTTCCTGCTGTATTTTAAAATAAAGCTAAAGCTTGCATGACTCAGATAACATATAATTTTATAGCCTATATAAAGAATTTCAGATACAAAACTGCTGTCATGGGGAAGGAGAGGCATTTTTCTTTAAGAAAATCTCAGACCTCCAATTTTGTTTCATTTGCTGGCCACCTTTAAATAATATATACAAAAAATGTGTCTAAGGCTTTGTCTAACCACACAGTTTTTTAGTGATACAGCCATGTCGCTGAAAGGCAGTGTAAATACTATTTGTTGGCACTTCTGGTGACAGAATACTTCTTCCCCATCAGCGAGTTTGCATTGTCAACAGGGGCATGCTTCTGTGGGGCAACAAGCCATTTACTTTTCCACTTCATGGGGCAAAATGTTTATCATTCAGACAGCAGGAGAAGGGGTGAGGGTGAAGCACCTATGAACGACGAATATTTTGTTGCTCAGGTGACTGTGTAGACAAAACCAAAGTAATGTCAAATTTATGACACAACATCAAGCTGCTCTATCTTGTGGTGAATTTTTTCCTTGACATGTCAGTCATTTATGCAACACCTAGGACAAGGGGGCTATGAGCATCTTTGAAAATTTGGGACAATAAGAACTAAAAGCCTTTAATTTTGTTTTCTAAGCTATTTGTTCTACATATGATTCATGAGATCTCCTAATTTTTGAGACACATGACCTCTTCAAACTTTTATCTTGCAAAAAATACTAACATGGTGACTTGACTTTTGTATGGTTGATCTTCATTTAATCAGATTATAGTATTCAGTTAATGGAGAGTATCCTCCTTTAGGGTTGCCAGATGGTTTAACAAAAAATACTGAACACACCCGCAAAAGAAAGGTACACTGGGAAAAAATTCTGTCGAGGAAAAAAAAGGGGGAGGGAGCCAAAGTTGTTAAGCAAAAGTTGCACCACTTTGTCCAGTTTGGGACTGCACCTACCCCTCCCCCTGAGTCAGGCACCCGGTTGCCCCCTCCATCCCAGTGCACTCTCCCCCCACCTCTCCCGGGCAGGCATCCTCAGCGTCTGGAGCCCCGCTCCGATCAAATCTCCCCCCTTCCTCCCTGCAGAGTCAGGCACAGAAGAAAAATCTTACTTTTAAAGTGTCTGCTTCTGCAGCCGGCTCTGCTGCCTCAGCTGTTCAGCTGGCAGCTTGCAGGGGAAGCATGACGTGGCCAGCTGCCGGTCTCTGCTGGTCAGGTGGGCCAGAGCAGTATATGCTCTACTCCTACCCAGCCCAACAACTCCCCAGTGTGGCGCCCGACAACTTCACCCTTCTGCTCTTCTTCCCCCCCCCCACTAGATTCTGTGGCACTCCTCACTCCCCCACCAGATACGGCAAGGGAAAATTGACCAGACAGAGCCTGGACTGCCCAGAGATTTTTTTTTTTTAAGGGATTTATAGCCCCGTCTCCCTGACATTGATCCTGGGCAAAACAATGGAGCAGCTGATACAGGACTTCATTCATAAACTCAAGGAGGGTCCTATAACTAATACCCATTGCCATGGGGTTATGCAAAACACATCCCAACAAACTAACTTGGTAACTGTTTTTGAGGAGACAAGTATTCGTTGGGTGATAAAAGAAATGGAGCAGAGGTAACAGATTTCTGCAAGGTGCTTGACTTGGCGCTGCAGGACACTTTGATTGCAGGCTAGAATGATATACTATGACCAAGCGGGTGCGTTTCTAGAGGGGTCCCGCAGGGCATGGCTCTTGGCCGCATGCTATTTAACCCTGGTCTCAGTGACCTGGAAGACAATGTAAAATCTCCACTGGGAAAGTCTGCCAATGCCATGCACATTGGGGGAGAGGCAGCTAAGGCTCGCTCGGTCAGCTGGGCACAAGCAAACAGTGCGGGTTTTCGTACAGCTAGCCATAAATGGGTCCATCAAGGAACAAGAATGCCAAGGCCAGACTTCGAGGGGAGCTCGCTTGCTCCTGGAAAGCGATGACCCTGTGAATGATTTGGGGGTCACAGTGGCCACAAGACAGGGCTCTCCAGGAATGCAGAGGTTACTTTACTCTAGATTTGGCCCCGGGTTGACCGTGGCTGGAATCCTGGGTCCAGGTCCGGGGCCCACAATACAAGGCAGCCAGGTTGGCTGGTCACAGTGGTCCCTTTTTGGCTTTGCAATCTGTGACTAGATCCCAGGAGTCCTGACTCCCACCCTGCCCCCACCCTAACCCCCAAGACCTCACTCTCCCTCCAGAGCCACAGTAGCACCCTGGAGTCCTGGCTCTGCCCCACGAACTCCCAGACCGGGGAACAGCCTTCCTCGAACCTGGGCAGGATGCGCGCTGAGGGAGAACGTGCTCGTGGAATTGTAGGAAGCCCCCGTTACAGTCCGGAAGCACCCGCATCCTGTGGGGCATCACCCCTGAAAGGACCAGATGCCGATGGGGACACCAGAGCGGTGTCTCTAAGCACTGGGTGAGCCATCCCCCTGTGCGGCTGTTCCCTGCTGCCCTGCCCCAGAGGTGGCTGCATCTCACTGCCAGGCTGCAGAGCAGTTGGCTCAGTTTCAGAGGGTTGAGGCTGGTAAATAACTAGCACAGAGCCACCTTAGCAGTTTCATAGCAAAGTCTATTGTTCAGACAAAAAAAAAAAAGGATCCAGCTGCGACCTCCCTGTAAGTTGAGTCGCGACTCATAGTTTGAGAAATGCTGGGATACTATAAGATGAGTACATAACTGTCTGGATAACTGTTCTCAGAGTATAGTTATTAACAATTCACAATCATGTTGGAAGGGCATAACAAGTGTGGTTCTGCAGGGGTCTGTTTTGGGACCGGTTCTGTTCAATACCTTCATCAACGATTTAGATGATGGCATAGAGAGTATGAATATTAAGTTTGCCAATGATACGAAACTGGGAGGGGTTTCAAGTGCTTTGGAAAATAGGGTCAAATTTAACATGATCTGGACAAACTAGAGAAATGGTCTGATGTAAATATGATGAAGTTTAACAAGGACAAATGCAAAGTACTCTACTTAGGAAGGAACAATCAATTTCACACATACAGAATGGAATGGTGATTGTCTAGGAAGGAGTACTGCAGAAAGCGATTTAGGGGTCATAGTGGAGCATAATCCAAATATGAGTCAACAGTGTGACACTGTTGCAAAAAAAAGCAAACATGATTTTCGGATACATTAACAGGAGTGTTGTGAGCAAGACACAAGTCATTCTTCCACTCTACTCTGCATTGATTAGGCCTCAGTTGGAGTATTGTGCCCAGTTCTGTACACCGCATTTCAAGAATGATGTAGAGAAATTGGAGAAGTTCCACGCCCCCTCCACCCCCCGCAGAGCCAGGCAAGGAAGAAGAATCTTACTTTTAAAGTGTCTGCTTCTGCAGCCGGCTCTGCTGCCTCAGCTGTTCAGCTGGCAGCTTGCAGGGGAAGCATGACGTGGCCAGCTGCCGGTCTCTGCTGGTCAGGTGGGCCAGAGCAGTATATGCTCTACTCCTACCCAGCCCAACAACTCCCCAGTGTGGCGCCCGACAACTTCACCCTTCTGCTCTTCTTCCCCCCCCCCACTAGATTCTGTGGCACTCCTCACTCCCCCACCAGATACGGCAAGGGAAAATTGACCAGACAGAGCCTGGACTGCCCAGAGATTTTTTTTTTTTAAGGGATTTATAGCCCCGTCTCCCTGACATTGATCCTGGGCAAAACAATGGAGCAGCTGATACAGGACTTCATTCATAAACTCAAGGAGGGTCCTATAACTAATACCCATTGCCATGGGGTTATGCAAAACACATCCCAACAAACTAACTTGGTAACTGTTTTTGAGGAGACAAGTATTCGTTGGGTGATAAAAGAAATGGAGCAGAGGTAACAGATTTCTGCAAGGTGCTTGACTTGGCGCTGCAGGACACTTTGATTGCAGGCTAGAATGATATACTATGACCAAGCGGGTGCGTTTCTAGAGGGGTCCCGCAGGGCATGGCTCTTGGCCGCATGCTATTTAACCCTGGTCTCAGTGACCTGGAAGACAATGTAAAATCTCCACTGGGAAAGTCTGCCAATGCCATGCACATTGGGGGAGAGGCAGCTAAGGCTCGCTCGGTCAGCTGGGCACAAGCAAACAGTGCGGGTTTTCGTACAGCTAGCCATAAATGGGTCCATCAAGGAACAAGAATGCCAAGGCCAGACTTCGAGGGGAGCTCGCTTGCTCCTGGAAAGCGATGACCCTGTGAATGATTTGGGGGTCACAGTGGCCACAAGACAGGGCTCTCCAGGAATGCAGAGGTTACTTTACTCTAGATTTGGCCCCGGGTTGACCGTGGCTGGAATCCTGGGTCCAGGTCCGGGGCCCACAATACAAGGCAGCCAGGTTGGCTGGTCACAGTGGTCCCTTTTTGGCTTTGCAATCTGTGACTAGATCCCAGGAGTCCTGACTCCCACCCTGCCCCCACCCTAACCCCCAAGACCTCACTCTCCCTCCAGAGCCACAGTAGCACCCTGGAGTCCTGGCTCTGCCCCACGAACTCCCAGACCGGGGAACAGCCTTCCTCGAACCTGGGCAGGATGCGCGCTGAGGGAGAACGTGCTCGTGGAATTGTAGGAAGCCCCCGTTACAGTCCGGAAGCACCCGCATCCTGTGGGGCATCACCCCTGAAAGGACCAGATGCCGATGGGGACACCAGAGCGGTGTCTCTAAGCACTGGGTGAGCCATCCCCCTGTGCGGCTGTTCCCTGCTGCCCTGCCCCAGAGGTGGCTGCATCTCACTGCCAGGCTGCAGAGCAGTTGGCTCAGTTTCAGAGGGTTGAGGCTGGTAAATAACTAGCACAGAGCCACCTTAGCAGTTTCATAGCAAAGTCTATTGTTCAGACAAAAAAAAAAAAGGATCCAGCTGCGACCTCCCTGTAAGTTGAGTCGCGACTCATAGTTTG